AACATTTGAAAGTAAGAGTGCAAATATATTTTTCGAAACATTTGAAAATAAAACGAACGATGCATCTTGAAACTTGGAACAGGATTTAAAATAAGCTACCACTATCGTGCGATTTCTTTTTGCAAAATTTAAATATTATTAATCGGATTCGCTGTTAAATGTTATTTTACTATTAATTTGTCATCTTTGACAGACACATCTAGATGTTAACTTACACGACAGAGTTTTCACCAAGGGTGAAAAGCAACGTGTATTTATAGAAAAGGTTTATCTTCGTTCGTCTGGACGAGCCCGACAAGTCAGAGAAGCTATTTGATTATTATTTCATGATTGATTGCTTCGGCTGGATAAACGCATCTCGCGTCGAGTTAGCGTCAGATATTATTTAAATAAATTATCAGAGATTCCAACTGACGAGATGGTTTTTGAACTTTTCCCGATTTATATCCCGAATCGTTCCTCGTTTCCATTTATTCGCAATCGAAGCAGATCATCTGGTTTAAAATTGTAAGTTTCAAGTGATCACAGATTTTTGGAGATGAATATTCGGGTCTCAAATTTTTGATAGATTTTGATAGATATTCAGATTATTAAATTCTAGAATATTTAGTTTTCAATGTTTATTTAATTGCCAGATATACTTCCAGTTCTCTGATACTTCAGTGTCAAATTTCCGTATTTCCGAAATTCTGTTTCGATTGTTCCAAATCTCCAGATTTTTCTGGATTCTAAAATATTTTTAATTTCCGGAATTTCTACATCACTTCAATTTTTAAAGCTTGAAATTCCCAAATTCTCAAATATTCCAAATATTCCAATTCTCAGGTACGCCGAATATTTTAATTTCCGAAATTTCTCAAATCTCCAAACATTGAAATACCCTCAATTTCCAAACCTTTAGATGCTCGAGTTTTCGAATGTTCCAATTCTCAAATTTACACCAGTTTTCAATTTCTCAGATTTCTCGAATTGTCAACTTACTTCAATTTCCAAAGTTCCCGAGGTTTCTCAAATGTCAGCAATGTTCTCAAGCACATCGATATTTTAATTCTCGAGGCACTCCAGCCTCTCGAATTCTCAAATTTCCAAATTTCCAGACGCTGTCGAAATCGTTCTTCAAATTGCAGAGACGCCCCCGAAAATTCCCAATCCGTCAGACGTTCAGGCAAGAACAGAGAATTCCAAGCTGTTCGAATTTCCCGATACTCAACTTTCGACAACTTCTCCACTTCGAAGGCATAATTATTTCCATTCGACTATCTCGCGTCGAGTCGCGTTTCTCCCATTTCACTTTCGACTCGAAACGACAAATCACATTTCGCATTTCGAGTTGAAGGATTTCCATTCTCAAACATATCGGATGCGAATATATCACCGAAAGCGTGATATTCTCTTCTCTTTTTCTCGCGTGTTGCGGCTGCTTAATTAAATCTCACCGGCGCGGTATATCTCCCTAAATATTTTCCTGTTTGATCGAGAAATGGTGAG